ATTTTGGTAAATAAAATAATGCTCTGTGATCTCTGGATGACAGGTGCTATCCTAGAGCAAGGAACTCTTTGGAAGAGGAGTTATTGCTTGTGGAATGAGGTTACAGAAGTCAGAATAAGCTGCCCATTATTTTGATATTATTTCAAAATAACAGACTTGCTGTGTAGATACTCACATTGTTATTTCGAAATAATGCTAGTTATTCTGAAATAACGGTGCAGTGTAGACGCACCCACAGTGTGCACTAACTTTGCATGGGGTCATTGACTATGCCGGCCTACGACAATGCAGAACTTGACACTTATTTTAACTGGATATAAAAGGTTCATCTTTTTAGGGAAGCTTATGGAGGAATTAATGCTTTGACGTCTTCCAGCCATGGAAGAGCCTAATAGAATAAGGTCAGAGCAAAATTTTGGATGGGAACACCCCTGAACACTGGAGAAGCTTGGACCGCATTTCTGGGGCCCCAAGGGTTGGTTTGCATTATGGCACACGTGTTTCAAACCTGCTCATCCTGTACTTGCTATTTTACAAACCATCAACCCTGCTATACCAGGGGGCTGTGTCTAGACTGGCAAGTTTTTCCACAAAATCATCTGCTTTTGCGGAAAAACTTGCCAGCTGTCTACACTGGCCGCTTGAATTTCCGCAAAAGCACTGACGATCTCATGAAAGATTGTCAGTGCTTTTGCGGAAATACTATGCTACTCCCATTCGGGCAAAAGTCTTTTTCCGAAAAACTTTTCCGCAAAAGGGCCAGTGTAGACAGCAGAGATTTGTTTTCCGCAAAAAAGCCCCGATTGCCATTTTCGCAATTTTCGGGGCTTTTTTGTGGAAAAGCACGTCTAGCTTGGCCACGGATGCTTTTCCACAAAAAGTGCTTTTGAGGAAAAGCATCCTGCCAATCTAGACACGCTTTTCTGAAAATGCTTTTAACGGAAAACTTTTCCATTAAAAGCATTTCCGGAAAATCATGCCAGTGTAGACGTAGCCGGGGAGTTTAAACATTTCCAGAGTAAGAGTGATGACTTCTGAGGTAGCTTTGTTTTTTTAAAGCCCTGCTTCTCCCAACTCACTGAGAAAGAAGAATTGCTCTTCCTTTTATTAAAACTAGTAGTGTTATGCTATTACAGGAATACTAATTTGCTGGCAGGGCAAGCATGTAGAAATGCTGGTTTTATTACAATTTCTGCAAGAACCAACATGCGTGAAAACAGACTTCCTTCACATCTCTCAGTTTTGCTAATGACAATCAAACATCTTATCCAGCAGTCTCTGGCTTGTTTCCAAACTATTCACATTCTCTTTTAAAAGCAAGATCTTCCAGTACTATCTTGCTGGTAATGCTGTCAAATCAGCGCCGTCACTTTTGCTAGCCCCAAATGTCCCTGTCTGGAATGTAGTTACAGGAAAATTCCATCTCTTGGATTGGGTTTATTGTCTGTTTCTTGTCATTTTCTAAAGTGAATTGTTTCCCCTATGCTTCCAAATGAATTTGGTTCAGTGGGAAGAGCTTGAAATAAAATAAACAGGTGCAGCAAAGTTAGCATTTCATTGAGCCAATAAAAGCTCCTTTTAAATGTCAGTTAGCAGAGAAGAGGGAGGTTAAAGTTCTGTTTGTCTTTTCAGTAACACTTAACGAGTCTTGCTTTACACTTATTAAAACCAACCAGCTTGACCAGAAGAAAATGTATTTGGGTTCATTTAGTTTGTCATTTTTTCAGCAAATGATCCATTGATTTCTGATCCTCACTAATAATGTGTAAAGATAAAAGGAATAAAATCATGGTAGAGTTCTACTACACACAACCTAACATGGAATCAGTCTTTTCTCAAACAACTAACAAAATCACCCAAAGCACAGGACTTAGGGGTGATGGGGGACATTAACTATCCAGCCATCTGTTGGGAAAATAACACAGCAAGACACAGATTAGCCAACAAGTTATTGAAATGTTTTGGAGGGAATTATTTCAGAAGGTGGAGAAAGCCACTGGAGGGGCACTGTTCTACATTAGATTTTAACAAATAGGGAGGCATGAGTTGAGAATTTGAAAGTGAAAGGCAGGTTGGGTGAAAGTGATCAAGGAATGACAGAGTTCATGATTCTAAGGAATGTTAGGAGGAAGAACAGTAAAATAAAGACAAAAAATTTCAAGAAGGCAGACTTTTGCAAATTCAGGGAGCTGGAAGATAAGATCTCATGGGAAGCAAATCTAAGTGGAAAAACAATTGATGATGGTAAGAGCAACCTATTGCATTTCACAGGAAACATAGGAAGTATGGCAAGAGTCCAGCCTAGCTAAATCATGAGATCTTAATGATCTAAAAAATCAAAAAGGAGTCCTACAAAAACTAGGAAACTAGTGGAAACTAGGTCAAATAACAAAGGACTAATATAAGCAAATAACACAAGGGGCAAAATTAGAAAGGCCAAGGCACAAAGAAAGATCAAATTATCTAGAGATACAAAGGGTAACAAGAAAACATTCCACAAATATATTAGAAGAGGAAGACCAAAGACAGGGTAGGCCCATTATTCAATGAAGAGGGAAAAACAATAACAGAAAATGTGGAATTGACAGAGGTGCTTAATGACTTCTTTGTTTCGGTTTTCACCACGAAGATTGGTGGTGACTGGACAACACTGGGTGAATCCCAGTGAAAATAGGGTAGGTCCAGGAGCAAAAATAACTTAGACACAGTAGATGTCTTCAAGTCACCAGCACCTGATGAAATGCATCTTAGAATACCCAAGGAAATGACTGAGGAGAGCCATTAGCTATCATCTTTGAAAAGTCATGGAAGATGGGAGAGATTGCAGAGGACTGGAAAAAGGCAAATATTGTGCCCATCTATAAAAGGGGAAATAAGGACAATCCAGGAATTACAGACCAGTCATCTTAACTTCTGTATCAGGAAAGATAATGGAGCAAATAATTAATAAATCTATTTGCAAACATCTAGACAATAATAAGGTTACAAGTAACAGTCAGTATGAATTTGTAAAGAACAAATCATCTCAAACCAACTTAATAGCTTTCTTTGATAGGAAAACAAGCCTTGTGGATAAAAGGGAAGTGGCAGATGTGGTATATCTAGATTTTAGTAAGGCATTTGATACAGTTTCTCATGACCTCCTCATTAACTAACTAGGAAAATACAACCTAGATGGAGCTACTATAAGGTAGGTGCATAACTGTATGGATAACCATTCCCAGAGAGTAGTCATCAGTGATTCACAGTCTGGTATGTCTGAGTGGCTTCCAGTAGTGTGTTAGCCACCATGGTGACACATCTCTCACCATGGTACTTTTCATAAATCTTCCCCAAATTCTACTAAGGATTAGTATGTTTTACTACTTAACAATATACATTTTATTTCAACTGGTGAAGTAATTTTTCATTTCCTGTTGAAGGAGCTAATTCTGCAACCTTTACTCATTTAAATAGCCCTTTTGAATTCCATAGGAATAGTTGCCTGAGTAACCATTGCAAGTGGTTACTGCAAGTTATTCAAGTGACTGCACTGCGGTGGTGGACATATTGTACTAATGGTTCATAATATATAGTCTGAATAGAATAGAATAGAATAGAATAGAATAGAATAGAATAGAATAGGGATTTTACTGCACCCCGGAAAGGGAAGAACACAGCATCCACTAAAATTGTCAGCAGCACTCTGGGTTTTTCTTGATAGTCTCTCGGGGTATGTCTACACAGCAGCATTATTTCAAAACAACTAACTTTATTTCAAAATAACATAGTGCGTGTCTACACAGCAAGCCACTATTTTGAAATAATGTTGAGAGGGAAGACTTCATACTCCGACTCCTGTAGCTCTCATTTTACAAGGAGTAAGGGAAGTTGAAGGAAGCGTGTTCTTCCTTTGACTTCCTGCTGTGTAGACATCACCAAAAGCTGAATTAAGCTATTTCAACTTTAGCTATGCAATTGACATAGCTAGGTTGCATAGCTTAATTCAACTTTTGTCCTGCAGCATAGCTGTACCCTTAGAGAAGCACTGGACTCTGCTTAGCTTATCAGAGCTGAGCTGGTAAGGCCTGCAGGCACTAGAGATGAGTTCAAACCAGAAGAGACATTAAAAGCCCTTTGTACTTTCAAGAAGTTTGAATCTTGATACAAGCTTCACAGCCATCTTCACACAGAGCCCTAAATGGATACAAATGTTTACCTGTGGTTGCGGATATCTCTGAATAGCCATAAATATCCACCAATGTTCCCTCTAATTTTTTCCATCCATGTGTAGAATAAATTTTATGTGCACCACAGGCTATGCAGATGTGCACCACCAGTAGAAAAACATGCTGCCAGCTGTGGGCAGATGTGGGAGCTCTGCTAATCGGCTGGGTGGCATTTGAATCACTCGTGGGTGGCAGCCCAAGTGCTCAGCTTACAGAAAATACTGATCTCCACTGATCTGTAAGGGCACCATTCCCAGGAGACACTGCAGTCAAAGGAGAGGAATGTGGTCCTGCCTCCCCCAGGAGCCAGCAGCCCATGCTGGAACCTCACCACACCCCACTACCAGCGGAGGCTGTATGGCTCCAAACAGGAGATGTGCCTGGGGGCAGACTGTGGGTGGTACAGCCACATGGCTAGGAGAAGCTGTTGGCATAGGCCACTCTGGTATTCTGGTGGGACAATATTCCTCTCTTTTGGCCACAGCACCTCCTGGGGGTAGAGCCCTGTGGATTAGCAGATACTGATGTCTATCAACAGATAGCCGTGTCCGTAGGAAGACATTTGTATCCATGCAGGTCTCTGTCTGTAGATGGCACATGGCCCACAAGGCAAGCAGAGAGGGGGGAGAGAGGTGGTATGTGTGCTACAGCACATTTATAACAGATCCCCCAGAGCACATTGTCTGACTTCAGCATCACCCCACCACCAACCAGCCCCTCTCCCCTCGGGTACCCCGATTTAGTTGAGTGATTTGTGCAGCTGACCGTGTCTGCCTCTCTGCCCATTCTTACCTCCTTTGGCATTTCTTTTGGGAAGAAGAAATAAGGGATGGCGGAAAAGGCCGTGAGAGTGGCTGCAACCAGGAATCCGAGCCACCAGGCTCCAACCCATCGAGGATCTTTATGAGTGAGCTGAATTTCCTCTGAAATACAAGAAAATAAATACAAAATAGAATCATAGACAGTGGGAGGAAATGATTCTACACCTGAGGCCGCAGGAAATGTCTCCATGTGACCCTAGCAAATGAAGTTTGCTCGGTGCTCCAGAGCAGGGTCTCCCAAGCTAGGGGGTGCAGATTATTAGAGGCCCACAGATCATCTGCGGTGGCCCATGCTGAGTCTCTTCATATCATATAGAGCTGAGTCTCTTCCTTGTTTCCACCTCCTTGTTGCCACAAGGCTGTTAGGTGGCTGTAAAGGGGAAGGGAGGGACCTATGGACAAACTCTCTATTGATATGCTATCCATGTTATGGGCAGATGTGAGATTCCTGCTTGAGAGGATGGTACATGAGACATACTGATATGACACAAGGAAAAATCCTTTTCTGACCTTGGCTAAATGTTAATTTAAGTATCTGACTTTAGGCACCCAAGTTTGAACCTTTTGGCTTTAATAATTTGGCCCCTTTCAGTGGCCACACCAGGAAACTGGAAACCCAGGAAACCAGACTCCCACTCTGCTAGTCTAAAGGCTTGTCTTCACTTACCCTGAGATCAATGCTGTGGAGGTCAATCTCCCATTGTCCTTCTGCTGTGGGGATGCCACAGAAATTCGACCTACAGTCCATTGACTCCAGCTACGCTATTCTTGTAGCTGGAGTTGCATAACTTAGGTCAAATTTCTCCCGTAGATAAGACCTGGCCTAACAGTTAGACAACATTCTCTTTTAAGGCATCCACATCTATATTTGCAAAAAGGAGCTGCAGATATTCGCATCTGTCAAGGCTGTTCCCCACTCTGGCATGACAAATGAAGAAGTAGGGGCTAGCAAAAGCACAGCAAATCCTGATCTCTACAGGCTTTGGTACAAAAACTCTCTCCCCGCCCTCCCCCCAAAGCCTAATACCTGGACTTTGGAGAATAAAAAAACCACTGACACCTCCCAAGTATTCCAAGCAAACCAGGGAAGAGATCACTTGGGAAACCTCCTCCCTAAATCCTCAGGGGTAACTCAAAATCTTTTCTCCAAAGAACTTGAAAAAGAACAAGCTACAGTGTGTGGTAGCTGCCCCCTAGTCAGAGGCATGCATATACCCACAGACAGATTTTCCAGGACACAGAAATGAACCAATACCACGTTAATTAGAAAAAGAAAACAAACTTTTAGTATCAGAACAATACTAACATTGCAAGCATAGTAAAGGTGGCTAGATGGTAAGGATGGTAATTGATATACTCAGAGAAAAGTTAACAAGAGAGAAAAAAACACTTTTAACAGCTCGGACATCAATTCCAAATTCCTAAACCATAAAACCATAAAACAATAAAACCTGATGGGCTAATTAAACTTTGCCCTACTTACATATTGTGAAAAGACTTTTCTTGGAGAGAGAGATGGCCTCCCATCTCCCTGTTACCTGGAAGAAACCACTTTGAATCAGACAAAGGAGGGAAAAAATAAAAATTATTTTGTCCCAGTTTGAAATCCCTACCTGCATTACTATTGGCTGACCAGATACCTGGCTAGAGACAGGAGACATAGTTAACCCCTTAGTCCTCAGATGCTGGCCAGCCCTCATGGTTATGACAGCATCCATATCCGCAGTTGTGGATATCCTCAGATATTAAACAGATATCTGCAGATTTGCAGAGTTCTAAGTGTAGGATCAGTATTTCAGAGAGAATCAATTCCCTCTGGTTTTTAAGGCAAAGATCAAGGAAAATGGAACCAAGAAAAAAAGAACTGTGCTTGAAAAGAACAATTGATTCTGTTCCTTCAGAATTCACCCTTTGAAGTCTCTCTAAGGGACACATAAGAGGCAGAATGCAGCTGATGCTGGGTACGGCTAGCCTGTGAGGATCTAACGGAAAAAGATATGCAAAATGCACTCTGCATTTTGCGTATCTTTTTCTGATACTTTTGCTGGAAAAGGCTTTTCTGAAATTTGGCCCAACTAGACTGGCCCCAATTTCAGAAAAACACCCTCTTTCGAAAGCCCCCTTCTTCCTCATGGAACGAGGAATACAGGGACTTCTGAAAGAGCGTGTTTGCTCTTTTGCAAAAAAAAAAAGTGGAAGAGCAAACGCATTCCCTGAATGTGGCAGAGGTTTTTTGGGATACTTCTGATATCCCAAAACCCCCCTGCAGTCTAGCCATACCCGCTGATAGGGAGGGTCACAGGTTTTTAGTATGTGCAGACGTTTACTGCTTCTAGAACAAAGCAATCTGACAATATGTAAACCTCCAAGGTTCTGGAATTTGCAGCTCCATCCCCAGACAACACCACCTGGATCATGGGCTGGGAAGAGCATATCTGTTTAAGACTGGATTTAATAAGCAATTTTGCTATGATACTGTGGCCTTGGGCAAATCGTGTCAAGCTTATGATACCTTACAGAGGAACTGGGAGACTTATTTCCATTTTTGAATGGACTCGGTATACTTATTTCCAACCGGTTTAGCCCATCACTAGTGACAGAAAAACCCTATTGCCCCCTGCAGAGCTTTCAGCACTTTGCAAGCCTTTGCATTTCCAATTCGACTTTAAACTTCAGGCTTTTGTGGCTGAGATGGTCTCAGCAGAACTGGGTTAAGCATGTACAAAACAACACAGGGCATGCCCTTTTCCCTTGCAATTCCTCACAAGATACTGCAGCTGGTTCCTCTTACTGTGTTCATTGTTCAACAATGAACTGGCATGCCAGAAAAGAACAGAAGGGTCAGAACCTGTAGGGTTTACAGTAGGAGATTCCACCGGTTTCCCGGCTCTCTTGTTATTGAGTCCTTTTGATCTCGGTCCAGGAGAAGTTCTCTCACTGTCTTGCCACAGGCTGGCTGGCTCTTCAAGGCAAGCTGGGCTCAGTCTTACCAGGGAATGTGTACCTGTCCCTCAGGCTCACTGGCAATCTGACCTGATTAGTGATCCCCTGCGGGTGTGCTGGAGTTTAACGCAGAGCATCAGAGGGAGGACTCCTTAAAGAGAGCTGTGGACTCAGTCCAGGAGAAGAAGACCCAGGAGAGAGGCGTGAGGGGAGATTCCTCTCTGGAAAACACCTGGCAAAGCTGGGCTGAAAGATACCAGCAGAGAATAGTTCAGACTTGCATGGGGGACAGGGCACCATGAGACAGGACCTGTAAGAAATAGGGAGGTCCCTGATGTAAAGTGCCTGAGGAAGGGAGGCAGTGGGGGAGAGAAGCTGCAGGAGAAGAAAGAGCTTGATGAAACTCTGCAGGCTCAGGTTTACCAGCTAGAAAACATTTGGACTCATCGTTGGACTTTTCAACCCCAGAAGGCGGCTGCACTTCAGTATGATTTGGCCGGAGGGCCAGGCTGCAGAACGCCCAGGTAGAGATGGTTGGGGGAAGACACGGACAGAGACAGTCTATCACACGGCTAAGGAAGTGGCCACTCAGAGGATGGTGTGCAAGAATCAATGAAGCCAACCAGTGCTATGGCAGCAAGAACAATCTATTGCCACATTACAAATAATCTCCGGGAAAGATCTTGCTCCATTTGCCAGGCCAGGATTTCAAAATACCCAAGGCAGTGAGAGCTTCTAAAGAAGCCAGGCTCAGGTTCTTACTGAGGAACCCACATTGTCCAAAACCAGAGTTCTACTGCCCTCCCAGGTACCAGAGCCAGCCTTGTTTTTGGGCTTTTCCACAGTGCTCGTCCCAGTTACAGCTGTGTATTGACTGGCAAATGGGGCTGTTCTGTCAGGGTGGCTCTTCATCTTCCCTCTCCATTTTCTGTGGTGGTTGCTAGTTTTGTGTTTGCTGACACATTAACCTTGCCGGGTGTTAGAGATCTTTCCCGTGCCCCATGAATCCCAGATATGCTCTCCTAAAAAAGTGCAGTACAAGTGAACATGGGAAATGCAAAGGGCAAACACTGCCCCTTTCTCTCCCTGCTCCTTTTGTCTCTTCTTGCTTTGGTCTCCACCCGCCTCTCCCCAATTATCCTGTCTCTTTGCATGTCCCATGTTCTTTTCTTTTTTTCTGTCACTACATTTTGTGTGTTTCTTCCCTCTCCTTTCATTTTCACTCTCCTCTTCCGACACACCCACCCTGCGAGCTCATCACAACAGTGCAGCTGCAATGACTAGGGCAGGGGCTACTCCGAAGCATTGTCGAGAGAAATGCAATGAATGAGGTGCAATCCTTGTGGTCACCCAGCTAATACAGTGTAGCCCAAGGTCCAGTGTGTTTCAGCAGCAGCCCTGGGAACTACAAGTTGTGGACTACAAACTGCGGCATGTTGGGAGAACCTCCTGGTTCCTGCCAGGATGTGCCCTCTGCCCCCAGCAGGGTTTCAGCAAGGACTTTGCTAGAAGCAGCACACAGGCTGCATGCAGAGAGAAGGGGCTGCTGAACTGTTTTCCTGTTCTATGTTTTTTACAGAATAAAGCCTGTTCCTGGTGGTTTGTCGGAGTGGGTCTGGTCTGAGGTGCACTCACACATACACAATGCAGAGCACACCAAGCAGCCTCAGGCCTAGCCCTCCCCCCACAGTGGTGTAAGAAGTCACCCCAGGGGTGTAAGAAGTCACAAGCTTCCCCTACACTGAATAACCTCACACTGGGCTAGCCAACTGGAGGGGTTACAACAGTGAGGAGTGTGATGAGGCAGATAAGCAGACAGGCCCCACTCCCCTTGTGCTGGCCATACTGGGAATGAGCTGCAGCACAGGTGTGAGTGACCCCCATGACTGAGAAAGGAGAAAGCAGGAGGAAAATGTGAAGTTTCTGCAGCTGCCATGCTTGATCTTACCCCCGAAATCTGTGTGTGACCCTGAGTTAGAAGGGAAGTACTCCCTTGCCGTATCTGATTACTCAGAGGTTACGTCTAGACTGGCATGATTTTGCGCAAATACTTTTAACGGAAAAAAAAATCTGTTAAAAGTATTTGCGCAAGAAAGCGTCTACGCTGGCATGGATGCTTTTGCGCAAAAGACATCTTTTGCGCAAAAGCATCTGTGCCAGTGTAGATGCTCTCTTGCGCAAGAAAGCTCTGATGGCCATTTTAGCCATCAGTCTTTCTTGCACAAGAAATTAACATTCCTGTCTACACTGGCCCTCTTGCGCAAGAGGGCTTATGCCTGAGTGGGAGAATCATAGTATTTGCGCAAGAAGCACTGATTTTGTACATTACAAAGTCAGTGTTCCTGCGCAAATACTCGCGGCCAGGGTAGAGAGGCGGCAAGATTTTGCTCAAAAGCGGCCGCTTTTGTGCAAAATCTTGCCAGTATAGACGCAGCCAGAGAGTTCCATCACCACACTTACTCTACCTGGTTAACTGCCCCCCCGGAACCATGCAAACCTCTAGCAGAATGATGACAGGAAGCTTTGTAAATGCACTCAGATATATCCAAGCATGTCAGCAGAGTTAAGGGAAGCCAGGTTTTGCTTCATTTGATGGCAGATGAACAGCAGCGTCGCTGTACACTTCAGATTTCTTTTACCTTTTTGGCATCACAATGCTAGCACACAGATCTAAAAGAGCTTTGCCTGTGGTAACAGGAAAGTTCTCCTGCCACGCACATGCTCCCGTGCACCAGATTAGGAATGGGCTATGGCCCTCAGAAGTTCTGTGAACTCACCTGGGGGAATTTTGTCAATGTCCACATAAAAGCGCAAAATGGCGGATCCTAACATGAACGCCACACCAGGTCCGATGATAGTCACAGCAAACAGGATTCCTAGGAAAAGAAACAGCATTTTCCACTCTGGAGGAAGGTTCAGTCTTTGGGAGAAGTGGATGCAGGGGATATGAGTTTCAAAATCACAGGAAAATAGGAACAAAAGAGATAAGACCCAAAGTGCATCCGGCTCAGTATCCTGTCTCTGAATGGGGCCAGCACCAGAGGAAGGTTTAAGAACCCGGCAGTAGCAGACGTGAGTTAATCTATCCCCATATTAGGTATCATCCTTATATCTAATAATTAGAAATTGGCTAGTGAACAAGTTCTACTGTTCCTTCCAAAAATATTGTTCCTGTTAATTAGAACTGTGACTAATCTTGTTAGCCATACACTTCAACTTTTCTTTGAATTTTGCTAAGTCCTTGTTCTCACATTGTGTGCAAAAGTATTTCCTTTTATCAGTTTTGAACTTTCCACTTTTTCATTTACTTGACTATCCCCTTGCTTTTGTTTTAAGTGCATAAGAGAAGTGAAATCTTTTATCTACCTCTTCTAAACCATTAATATAGAAGAGGTAAATAAAGGATATGATTACCATTCCTTCTTTCTAGGTAAGTTTTTCTGGGATACTTTATAAGGAATTAAGGGATCTTCCGAAAGGGGAGGTTTTTCTGACATTTGGCCCCATGTAGACGGGCCAAATGTCAGAAAAGCATCTTCCAAAAGAACAATCTGAAAAAGGTTCACAATTTGCGTATCTTTTTCCGATAAAACCCTGCAGTTTAGACATAGCCTCAGTATTTCCAATCTCTTTTCATAGGAGATTGCCCTCAATCATTCTTGTCACATGTCTCCGAATCCCTTATGGCTTCTACAGTACAGTAGGGGTCACACATTCTGATTTCAGTTACTAATGGTATAAAAACTCCATTGCATTAAAAGTACTCAAGATATATACTGGCATAATTCAGATTAAAAATTGTGCCATTATCTTTGAAATATTAGTAGTACCTTAATTTATCTCCTTTAGCTTTTACATGGAAGGCCTCATGACAATTACTACTGAAAAGCATGAACATACATAAGGTTTGATTCCTTATCACACTGAATCCTTATGAAATATGTTTCAGGAGTTTATGGCATTTTTAGGAATTAAAATCTGGAGCAGCCATAGCTAAAAACACTTAAACTTTTTATTGTCCAAGGATCAATTCTTGACATGAGTGGAGCAGTCACAGCCTGACTCTCCAGCTTGGCAGAAGTGCTGCTGTCCTTTCTTACCATGATGGGCTCAGTTCTGGTCTTACCTAAATAGAGAGGTGAGTTTCGCTCACTGGCAAAATCATCAATGTAAGAGATCCCAAAGGGCTGGATGGGGACCCCTCCGACCCCTAGCAAAGTCTGGCCAATGAACAGGATCAGCAGGACCTCGCGGCTTTCTTTCACTGCACGTAGGGTGCAGTCTGTGTCATTCAGGTTTCTGGTGGATATTGATATGTCAGGTTGGCAGAGATCAGTAGAATTGCTGAAAACACCTGTGGAAACAAATGCAACACCCCTAAGTGCCAGAAACGAAAGTTAGTGGATACCTACCCTTAGACATGAAACATCCTCTGTGAGATAGGATATAAGCTACAGAACTGAAGTTTGTCTCTCTGAGGGTAGGTTGCAGCAGTTGGCTACAGCCCAGATTGAGGATTAATTCCTCCCCATGCTCAGTATCCTGTCTGCCGACAGTGGCCAGCACCAGGTGCCCCAGAGAGGGTGGACTGAAGACAATGATCAAGCGATTTGTTTCCTGCCATCCCTCTCCAGCCTCTGACAAACAGAGGCCAAGGACACCATTTTATCCCCTGGCTAATAGCCTTTTATGGACCTAACCTCCATGAATTTATCCAGCTTCTCTTTAAACTCTATTATAGTCCTAGCCTTCACAGCCTCCTCTGGCAAGGAGTTCCACAGGTTGACTACACGCTGTGTGAAGAAGAACTTTCTTTTATTAGTTTTAAACCTGCTACCCATTAATTTCATTTGGTGTCCTCTAGTTCTTCTATTATGGGAACTAATAAATAACTTTTCTTTATCAGCCCTCTCCACACCACTCATGATTTTATAGACCTCTATCATATCCCCCCTCAGTCTCCTCTTTTCTAAACTGAAAAGTCCCAGTCGCTTTAACCTCTCCTCATATGGGACCCGTTCCAAACCCCTAATCATTTTAGTTGCCCTTTTCTGAACCCTTTCCAAGGCCAAAATATCTTTTTTGAGGTGAGGAGACCACATCTGTACACAGTATTGAAGATGTGGGCGTACCATAGTTTTATACAGGGGCAGTAAGATATTCTGTCTTATTTTCTGTCCCTTTCCTAATAATTCCTAGCATCTTATTTGCCTTTTTGACCTCCGCTGCACTCTGTGTGGAAGTTTTCAGAGAACTGTCCACGATAACTCCAAGATCTCTTTCCTGATTTGTCGTAGCCAAATTAGCCCCCATCATACTGTACGTATAGTTGGGGTTATTTTTCCCGATGTGCATTACTTTACACTTATCCACATTAAATTTCATTTGCCATTTTGTTGCCCAATCACTCAGTTTGGTGAGATCTTCTTGGAGTCCCTCACAGTCTGCTTCTGTCTTGACTATCCTAAACAGTTTGGTATCATCTGCAAACTTTACTACCTCACTGCTTACCCCTTTCTCCAGATCATTTATGAATAAGTTGAAAAGGATTGGTCCCAGGACTGACCCTTGGGGTACACCACTAGTTACCCCTCTCCAATCTGAAAATTTACCATTTATTCCTACCCTTTGTTTCCTGTCTTTTAACCAGTTCTCAATCCAAGAAAGGACCTTTCCTCTTATCCCATGGCCATGTAATTTACACAAGAGCCTTTGGTGAGGGACCTTGTCAAAGGCTTTCTGAAAATCCAAGTATACTATATCTACTGGATCCCCCTTGTCCGCATGTTTGTTAACCCCTTCAAAGAACTCTAATAGATTAGTAAGACAGGATTTCCCTTTACAGAAACCATGTTGACTTTTGTCCAACAAATTATGTTCTTCTACATGCTTCACAATTTTATTCTTTACTATTGTTTCGACTAATTTGCCCGGTGCTGAAGTTAGACTTACCGGTCTGTAATTGCCAGGATCGCTTCTAGAGCCCATGTTAAATATTGGTGTCACGTTAGCTACCTTCCAGTCATTAGGTACGGAAGCCGATTTAAAGGATAGGTTACAAACCACAGATAATAGCTCAGCAATTTCCCATTTAAGTTCTTTTAGAACCCTTGAGTGGCAGATTCAGTGCTGTGGGGCTGGCTGGGCTTGGTTCTCCACTCTGGGTGTTGCCACGTCAAGGGTTGCAGCACCACTCAGGTTTGGCCATGGCCCTGCCCCCTGACTGGACCATGTGTCCCTGACTGGAGTTGTCACCCAGCTCCTGGGGTTAAAGTGCAACTGACTCAAATTTGGCCTTCAGAGCTGGGCGACTGAAGAGTGACAAATGCTGGCTGGGCATCCAACTCTGAAGCCTGTGCAGATATAAGGGAGTCAATACCATGCCTGTGCAAGGCTCTATCCCCTACCAGTTTTTGTCCCACCCACTCCTCAGCTTTGTGCCCTGCCAGTCTCACCCTGGTTACAGCCCTGCTGCTGCTCAACCCTTTGAAATATTTTGGGGACCCACAGGATGAAAAACCCCAGTGTAGAAAACAGAAAATACCTGAAGGGGCGGGCGGAATTCCCTGTCGGTCCTAACAACAACAGAGCAGTTGGAGAAAGATGGGCTCCAAAGTAGCGGCTCTTGCACCATTCAGTGCTTTTGACATAACAGACACTTTGAATATTGTCCAGAAGCCAATGGGGAGCTGGCTGAAGAGTGTAGCATAACAGCTGCTTTTGAAAGTCCTGGAATTTCTTGTTTATTCCCCTAAATAGCACTGAATTCCAGTTTCCCCCTCTGTTTTATAGTTCAGTCACCTGACTCAGTAAGCATCTGCACTGTCAAGGACCTATCGTGAAGTATATGGTTTAGCTTGTTTCCATATGCTTCCTCTCTGTTCCCTGGATAAAGCTGTGAATTCATGTGATGGGGGGACCAGTCCCAAAGACCCCTGCTGGAGGCTTGTGGCCTTGCCACATCCCACCCAACAAACCATAAAGAAGTCCTCCAAGAAAGCTAGAGTGGCAAAAATGACCTAACCAATCAGGGTCCAACAAGCCTGTTAAAAGGAACCTGCTGGTCCAGAGTGAGGCAGTTTCTCCTCAAAGCACAAAAAGCTCAGACAGGGCTGGAGACCTGGGTGGCAGGATGGCTGTCACAGCAAGGAGTGCAGACACAGACACTCAGCCAAAAGGGGCCACTCACGTGAGGTGAGTGATGTCCCATTACAATTAGTCACTCCTTAAATCTTCCTTTGGAGACTATAATTGCAGAAATATGAATAGAAAATTACAGCAGAGACCCAATCTGTGATGCCAGCTATGTTCTGGCTGGGCTGTAGTGGTGTAGTGACCCAAGGAAACTTTCTGATAATAGTAGGATTTCTATTATTTTTGGGATTGGGGATGTTGAAGTCAAGGAGCAGGATGACTAACTCCACCACTGTATTCTCCTTCCATTCTTATTTTCTCACTTCTTCCAGGAAGCCCCCTGTGCCTGTAAATCCCCTCCCTGACCTGGTCCTCCATATACCGCCCTCTTCTTCATAGACTCATAGACTTTAAGGTCAAAAGGGACCATTATGATTATCTAGTCTGACCCTGCACAATGCAGGCGACAGAATCTTACCCACTCCCTCCTAGAATAATCCTCTCGCCTATATCTCAGATACTGAAGTCTTCAAATAGTTTGAGGACCCCAAGATGCAGAGAATCCTCCAGCTGTGATCGGTACCCCATGCTACAGAGGAAGGCGGAAAAACCTCCAGGGCCTCTGCCAATCTACCCTGGAGGAAAATTCCTTCCCAAACCCAAATATGGCGATCAGCTAAACCCTGAGCATGTGGGCAAGACTCACTAGCCAGACACCTAGACAGTTCTCTGTAGTAACTCCTATCATCCCTCCATTGACCTATTTACCACTGATAATGAATAGTCAATTAGTTACCAAGATCATGTTATCTCATCAAACCATCCCCTTCATAAACCCATCTAGTTTAATCTTGAAACCAGATAGATCTTTTGCCCCTACTACTTCCCTTGGAAGGCCGTTCCAGAACCTCACTCCTCTAATGGTTAGAAACCTTCGTCTAATCTCAAGTCTAAACTTCCTACTAGCCAGCTTATTTGTTCTTGTGTCCACATTGGTATTAAACTTAAATAATTCCTCTCCCTTCCTGGTATTTATCCCTCTAATATATTTAAAAAGTGCAATCATGTCCCCCCTCAGCCTTCTTTTGGTTAAGGTAAACAAGCCATGCTCCCTGAGTCTCCTTTCATAAGACAGGTTTTCCATTCCTCGGATCATCCTAGTGGCCCTTCTTTGTACCTGTTCCAGTTTGAATTCATCCTTCTTAAACAGGGGAGACCAGAACTGCACACAGTATTCCAAATGGGGTCTCACCAATGCCTTGTATAATGACACTAACACCTCCTTATC